TTTGCTTCCCGCATTCGTTGCCCGAGTGGTTCTTTGTCGTGATGTTTGTCGTGGATTTTTATATTTTTGTTCTGGCCGGTTGTGTTAAGCGATTTTTGTAGTTGTCGTAGGCTGTTTGTAGTGCTCTCGTGTTACGCTTGACATTTTTGCTCATATACAATATAAGTACTATCTACATTAATTTTCTTTTTAAATGTTTTTTCTAAAGATTTTCGTAATATATTTAGAAACTTATTTGAACAAATAATATAAACATATAGTATAGTTATATGACACACTTCAGAAGTCCCGAGGATATGACAATGGATGAGATTAAGAAACAACTGGCATTGTATTAGCGCTTCTATTATGCCAAGCGCAAGGAAGACGAACAGTTTATGCTAAAGAAGCGCGAAGCAAGCATAAGGCACAACCAAAAAGAAGAAACTTAAGGAATACATAGAAGACATGAATATAAGCAAAGAAGATTTGACACCAACGCAAATTAACGAAATCATTACTGATAAGAAACCTAGCGGAAAGAAACGCGGAGCGCCCAAATACGATATGAATGATTACAAAGTGATTATGCCAAACGCTAGTTGAAAGGATGCTTTAATTAACTATATTAAATCAGTATTTTTGTTACTTGTTTATATGAGCGATAAGCAGAAAATTATTAAAGATGTATATTTTGATAGAGCGGGGTTTGGCTGTAAATCCAGAACACTATCTGAAGCACGGGAGAAGGACAAAACTATAACAATGGGCGATATTAGCGAGTTGTTTCGAGAAAATGTGGGGCAAAAAAGAAAGCCCCTCATTCCGCCTACGAGTATCAGATGGATTTGTTTTTTTATGAACGATTTGGATGAACAAAAGTAGTTTAGGGTAGGTATGTTAATGATTGATGTATTTGATAAGTTTATGTCTGTAGTGCCTATGAAAGGAAAAAGGAAGAGGATTTAGCGAGTGGNNTGTTTAAACAAGATGGGAAAGAAACCAGAGATACTTTGTACAGACGACGAGGGAGCAATGAACAAGGAAGCAATACAAAAGTATTTGAAGGATGAGAACATAGAACATCACCGAACGCGGGCACACCCAAATTTTATCGAAAGTGCCATCCGCACTTTTAAAGATATGTTGTATGGGAGAGTTGAAGCAGCTGAGAAAAAAGGAAAACAAAACATCCAATGGCCAGATTAAATATTAGAACAAGCACTAACCTATAATAACAAAATGAAGCACTCGGCAACGGGATTTACGCCAAAGGAAGCCCGAAAACCCAGTAATGAATTCAAAGTGAAACTAAATTTAACGATGAAGGGAAAGAAGAGCCGTATTTATCCCGATTTAGATGTAGGGGACGAAGTTAAAATATTTAGGAAACGAAAACCAAATGAAAAAGAGAGGGTGATGACCGGTCACAGAACATTTATACAGTAGAAAGAACTGAAAACAAGTTAGGACAGACATACAACTATGTAGAGGGTCATGAAAGGCAATATCTAAGATTCGAGCTGCTTATGGTTTGACGGCAAGCACTCTCTGACGTTTTCTGCATGACCAGCTGTTGGGCACATCACACTTCACATGACACTATTGTCTCCAAAGCATGCGAACTGACCATCTTTCCGCACTGCAATCAGCGCAGTATCCCTAAACCCTAAACCCTAACTGGTCCCTAATCAACTCTTGGCACGTCACACCGGCCTTGCCCTCTGCGTCCAAAACAGACGAGCTGACCATCTGCCCGCACTGCGCAGGTGTGCTGATCGCCCGCCGAGACTGCCAGAACTGGTCCCAAGTCTGCTGGAGGGTGACACGCCGCGTATCTGCGTCCAAAGCAGACGAGCATACCATCTGCCCGTATTGCACAAGTATGATATTGGCCCGCTGAGACTGCCAAGACTGGTCCCAAATCTGATGGCACCTTAACCGCCTTTTTTCGAAGGTCTCCGAAGCAGACGAGCTGACCATCTGTACGCACTGCACATGTATGAGTTTCGCCCGCTGAGACTGCCAAAACCGATCCCAAATCTGCTGGAACATCACACTGCCGTTTTCCGTCGGCTCCAAAGCAGACGAGCTGACCATCTGTACGCACTGCACAAGTATGACTTCGGCTCGCTGAGACTGCGAAAACCGATCCCAAATCTGCTGGAACATCACACTGCCCTTCTCCGTTGGCTCCAAAGCAGACGAGCTGACCATCTGTACGCACTGCACAAGTATGATAGCGGCCCGCTGAGACTGCCAAAACCGATCCCAAATCTGCTGGAACATCACACTGCCTTTCTCCGTTGTGTCCGAAGCAGACGAGCTGACCATCTGTACGCACTGCACAAGTATGATATGTGGCCGCTGACACTGTAAGAACTGGCCCTAAATCTGCTGGCACATCGCACTGCCCACATCCATAGCTATAGGGCTTTGTTTCGGGTCCAAAGCACACGAGTTGACCATCTGCCCGCACTCCACAAGTATGAAATGCGCCTGCTGAGACTGCCAAAACTGAATTGCTGCAAACTTGAATGTTTCCGGAGAGTGGTGAGATTCCAGAAGCCCGAGTCCGTCTGTGAATATTGCTGGACAAGCACTCGACACGTTGAAGCCGTGGCAGCACGAAACGTGACTGACCTAGCGTGGGAATGCACCAGGAGCCAGGACGGACTGTAAGAAACGACAGGAATGCAGTCCTCCCTGCCCAGAAGAAGAGTCTGGCAAACGCGCGACCAACTCTCATAGCCACTGAGAGATGGATGTAGGAAGCAAGGCTCCAGGGAGGGTGCCCTTGAAGCTGAAAGACGGGAGTCTAGACAAGTAGCTAGTGCTATGCTATTCGTACCGTTCTAGCCGATACGACCTGCATCCTAAACCTTATTCCTATTATCGATAAACTATTAGAGAATACCATTTCCATTTTCAAGGGTTAGGGATTTCGGGTTGGGAATATGGGTTTTGCTATGGAGGTGTGGGTGCATGGTGTTGAGGTTGTTTTTTTTTCTATGTGGTGGTGTATGGTTTTTCTGGTGGTTCCATCGTGTGGGTCTTGGGGTTGAGGTTTTTTGGTGAGTATAGGGTTGAGGTATAGGTTGTTATGGTTTTGGGTCTTCAGGTAGGTCCTTGCAAGGGTTCTACCTATGGGTCTTGGATGGGTTGAAGGTTGAGGTATAGGTTGTTATGGTTTTGGGTGCTAGGGGGTGGGGCATGGTTACAAAATGGAAATGGTATCCGCTAACTTTTTCAGCAGTTCAGACTCACGCAGTACCATGCTTGCGACCCGGCTCTTCATCGTAGTAGAGGGGTCGTGATGGGGCTCAAACTTTGCGATATCTCACAGCATAAACAAACAAATGCCAGACTCAGACTTTCAATCGGGTTTTGGGCTATCTCCTAATGTATTCAGACTTAAACCCTAAACCCTTACTTCCCCAATAGAGCAAGGAAATAAACGGTTAAACTTTCAGATTACTACTACATTATAAGAACCCAAAGAGTTTAAAGGTTGGGTATTGGAGAACCAAGAATCTTAAACCCTAAACCCTAAAACCCTAAACCCTAAAACCCTAAAAACCCTAAATTAAATCGTAAACCCGAAAACCCTACAACCCTAAGCCCATAAACCCTTCTCTGAAATCGACCTACCAGGCGCCCGCTGGAGTTCCGGGTGCTCGAGCATGGGGTTTCTAGGTGTTGGGCCTGAGGGGTTCAGGGTTTAAGGGTTTAGGGTTTAAGGGTGTAGGGTTTAAGGGTTGTAGGGTTTAGGGGTTGTAAGGCTTAAGGGTTGTAGGGTTTAGGGGTTGTAGGGTTGAAGGGTTGTAAGGTTTAAGGGTTTAGGGTTTAAGGGTTGTAGGGTTTACGGGTTTAGGGTTTAAGGGTTGTAGGGTTTAGGGTTTTAGGGTTTTGGGTTTAAGGGGTTTAGGGTTTTGGAGTGAGTTTGCCACTCCTTGCTGTTAAGAATTCTAGGGGCTGAGTACCCCAGCTAAGAGGTTTGGGTTTAGGGTTTAGGGTTAACCTTCTCAATTATGGTAGGATTAAAAATAAGAACTAAGGTCCTGCCCCAACAGAAAAATCGGAGCATCCGCAGAGTGGGATTGACCAGATTAACATGTGTGTTATACGACACATGTCAGTCTGGAACCCATAGGGACGACTGAAGGGGCCTTAATAATAATAGTAATAATAATAATACTAATAACAAAATAATAATAATAATAATAATAATAATAATAATAATAATTAGAATGGGGTTTTGATGGCTCCTTTAAAGGGTTACTATACGGGTTGTTATAAGGGCTACGATAAAGGTTTAGCGTTTAGGGGCCTGAATAATTAGACTAGGGTTTTTGGGGTATACTATACTATACTTTTAAGGAGCCCCAAAATAAAATAAGCAATTATTTAGGCCCCGATGTTCATTGTGGTTCGCACCGCCTGGATAAGGCCATCCTTGGCAAACTCCAACTCTCAGGAGTAGGAAACGAAGCCTTCTGAGCTTTGCCCTTGCCCTTTCAAATGTTATACCGCCTGCTGGCCAGCTGCATGACACCCGGTGACTTGCGGTCGGAACCCTGACAATCGCCCCTTACCACAAAAACCCGACATCCTTTCCCGTAAAAACCCATATAAAACCCTGGTGCATCAACTTGAGGCCCGCAATCCCTAAAGCCCTTCTTTACACACCCCCCACATCCCCAATTTCCATGCCCAATCCCCTGAAATCTTACTTTAAACCCCTCAAACTATCAGCCGTCATAAATTCTAGAACCCCGAACCCTAAACCCTAAACCGGATAAACTCTAGGACCCTCAACCCGAGCTTGTTGAATCTTAAAGCCTGGTCCTTTGGTATTTAGGGTTTAGGGTTTAGGGTTCCGCTCCGAAACACTGGGAAACCCTACAGTGTGTACTGTCAAGCTCTTACTTCTCCAGCATCCTAGGGCAACTACCGGCTAGCCTTTAGGATCATATGGGTAGTTCTCTAAATTAGGGTCCCATTTTGGGGTCCTTTTTATAAGGGTGCCGTACTATATTGGGGACCCAAAATGGGACCCCAATTTAGAGAACTACCCATATAGGAGTTGTAGTACCACCAACAGGCTGAAGGTTACCTCCTCCACTACTCAGAACCCTAAACCCTACACCTCAAACCTTAAACCCTAAACCCTAAACCCCCAAACAGAACCCCTGATAGAACCCTTGTAGACTTAGCAGAAGAAGGACGGAGGCTGCCTGCTCTACTACTTGGAGGTTCATGGGTAAATGTAAGTAGGGTTATAAGTAGGGTAACCGTAGTTATAGCCTATATTCGGGGACTTCTGGCTCCACTTATAACTACCCCTGGACCCCAAACCCTAAACCCTATATAAACCCTATAGAACCCTTTAAAGGAACCCACTTTATAACTACCCATGCACCTCCAACTACTCGCTAGGAGTCGGCTCAGGGTCTGGACCTAATGTAGGGGCCTTGACAAATCGAATAGGGTTTTTGGGGCCCATTATACTAGAATTCTAATACAGAGCCCCCCAAAATAATGTAGGTAATTCTTTAGGCATAATAAGGAGCCCCCAAACTAAAATAGGTAATTCTTGAGGCCCCTATATTACGTACTCTACTACTCTACTAAGGATCGCTGCCCAGGCACAGATGTAGAGGCCCCAAAGACGACTATTTTGGATGGCGACCTCAATTTTTTGAAAGGTGAGGCTTAGGTTTCAGGGGTTCAGGGCTCAGGGTTTTGGGTTTAGGGTTCAGGTTTCAGGGTTTAGGTTCAGGGTTCAGGGTTTAGGTTCAGGGTTCAGTGTTCAGTGTTCAGGGTTTAGGGTTCAGGGTCTCGGGTTTAGGGCGAGGCTTCGAGCCGGAGTGGGGTTGATTGAGGGAGTGGGGTCTAGCTTAGGGTTTAGGGTTTAGGGTTTAGGGTTTAGGGTTTAGTCTAGGATGCAGGGTCGCAGGGTTTAGGCGGAGGGGCTTGGGGTTCAGGGCTCAAGGGTTCTAGGATGAACCGGTTGAGGAGGAGGAGGCTTTAGAAACCCTAAGCCCTAAACCCTAAACCGGGTTCTAGGATGAACCGGTTGAGGGGGAGGAGGCTTTAGAAACCCTAAGCCCTAAACCCTAAACCGGGTTGCAGGATGAACCGTTCGAGGCGTTCGAGGAGGAGGGCTTGAAGGCCCACGCTGCTGTAAGGACTGGGGCCCGCTGAAGCCTTCGGGGTGTACTTCTGTGCAACGGCTACCTCTGGGGTTTAGGGTTTAGGGTTTAGGCACAAAGTGTGTAATGTAGGGGCCTTAAGATTTGGAATAGGGTTTTGGGGGTATATTGTACTATAAATACAGTAAGGAAGCACCAGAATAAAGGAAATCATTAAGGCCCCTACATTACGCTGGCTGCCCAGGCTGGGTAGAGGTTTATGCGGGTGCTTTTGGGTTCTGTACGGTTCGGGTTTAGGGTTTAGTGGTTAGGGTTCTAGGTGGTACAGGAAACTAAGATATAAGCTGTTAGCAGTACCGTACTGCTGATACTTGCAGGAACACCCAAATAGTAAGTATACCGTACCCCATTCCCGGTTCAGGGGGCAACGGGTTGAGGAATCAGAGAGCTTTGTCATGCAGGTTCTGATAAGGCTCACGAACAGGATCATGCCAGCTTTCAGCAGGTAGAAACCCCGATAGAACTCACATGCGAAGTCCTGTGTCTCATTTTTCTATCACGGAGTCCCCTCCAGCTAACAACACTAACCGTAGTAGTACTAGCATGGAGCCCACAACCCTAAATCCGAAACACTCCCAAAGAACCTCGTAGTTGTAACATTGTTTGACGTTGATAGTCTGGGAAGTCTAGGTGATTGTTATTGGGGTTGTGTGGGGTTGAGGGTTTAGGGTATAGGGTTTAGGTGTCAACGACTCAGTAGGTGTGTAACAGATCTGAGGCTGCGATGAGACAAGTTGTTGTTAGTGACGGGGCTTAACCCTAAACCCTAACCCTAAACCCTAAACCCTAACCCTAACCCTAAACCCTAACCTAAACCCTTGGCCCCAGGGCTTAGGCCTTCAGCAGCTCTCGACTGCCTAGTCCCTTGGCATTCAAAAACCTCAAAACCCTAACCGCTTGAAACCCTGAACCCTAAACGGTTCAGGGTTTAGGGGTTTAGGGTTTAAACTATAGACCCTGAACCCTAAACTCTAAATCGTTACCCCTTCAAGGGACCCTTTCAGAAGGGCACCACTAGCTCTCCGGGCGAACCAGGCTCTCCGGCTCTGGTCCCTCGTCGCTAAAGGCCTCGCCGATCAGCTTCAGCAGGGCCAGTAGCAGCATGGTTTAGGGTTCAGG